GTTATTGAAAAAAAGATAATTATCGGTAGGTCGGACAGAATCTCATGGGCGTATTGAAGAAGGATAGCGTCCGTTACTTCGCGTGCAGCACTCGTTTTCTCCGGCCGTAACGTAAGCACGCACCTATGCAGGAAAAATCGCTCACGCATGGATGCTGCGGACGAAATAGAATTAATAAATAAAAGTAGCGAGGATAAAAGGTGATGAAGATCCGGTATAATGTCGATAAAAACGGGGCCTGCAATTCTGGGTCATTGGGGCGGCAAATCAAGTCGAGAGCATTAAGTAATTAATAGCGCGCACGCGCGCGCGACAATATAACGAGATTATTGCCGGCCGCGGAAATGTCCATTCGGTCCGGGTCCTTTTTTCGCGCCTCCTTTCACCGCCGCTCGTGCGTACCGCCACTCAACTTTCTTTTAATTCTTTTAATTAAATCAAAATGCCGGAAAAATTGCGCGTACACGTAAACACAGGCTCGACTACGACGGGATGCTGGGAGTGAGCGATATTTTCCCTTCCCCTCGATATTTTTATCCATTATTTCGACTTTACGAGGAACATTTATTGGGCGCTGGGGTTGCGAGACCAGCGAAACTTTTTCGGGGCCATCGTTACTTTTCTCGTGAAAGGTATGGTGCATGAAAGAGAGTGAGAAAATGAAAGTCAAGCCGATCGCTTAATTTTGTCCAAGCGGAAGTGGAGTACCAGCCAGAAATATTCCAGGAATGTTGACGGTTACAAGATGCAATTGATACTGCAAAATTTTCTGTGAAAAATAAACTATTATCTTTGATGTTTCTAGTACGATTTCCAATGTTTCGAATAATGGCGTTTCAGGTATTTCAGGTAATTACGGATTTTTATACATGAATAATCGAAATCAAACGAAGCGATTGTAGCAATTCGCGAATAATTGACACTTTGCATAAAAACAATCGTATTTAATAATTAACTTAAGCCACTTTCGAAGTCTTATACATACATATGTATCGAATAGGTATCTACAATTTCATTCAAAGAATTGGATTAATTATTTTGAAAGTATGAAACGTTTGTAATTTATGTATACATTTATAATTAAGGCTGACCAGTTCTACTTATTAAAAAACATACATTGATAACTTATGACGCAACATCTTAGATAAAATTTTAGTCATTTTTGTGAGACACTCTGTCGCTTCTCTTTCTATGCATTCGAATGCCTAATTATTTGGACATCAAATTACCATTGATTTTGACTGATAAATTGAAAATACATTTATATGAAAATATCTTTATAAGAAATTCAAGTATAATGCATTGGAAAAATTTTCCATAAAATCAGAACTGATAAAAAAATAATTATATTTATATTATTCAATAGTATTTGAATATAATTCAACGACTACTCATATTAACTTGCATTTGAACGAAAAAAATAAAAATAATAACGATAAAATCCGGAAATATGTTGTATCCATCTATAACGGTTAATTATTTTGTACGACTTTTTTTAATTATTCATTTATTTTTAGAAAGTAGATATTCATACAAAATTAGACATGGGAGGACAGTGCATCGAGGACAAAATAATTTAAATCCATTTTTAGTATGTTAATATGTTTACTAGTTTATTAATTTAAAAATCTAGAAAGCAATTCCGAACTTGATCATATTTTAAAGTAATAACATGTTCAACAAGAAATATAAACTTATTTGAGATCCCGTTTTTAAATCATTATTAGAATATGAACAAAATTTTCTTCCTTCCTTATTTCTTTTGTGCGTATGATATTAATTATAATTATGAGCTAATAAATAATATTAAATTATAATTAATATTTTATTTATGTTACATATCTTAAAAGTATTTGGTGTTAAAAATTTCATCCCAATGTTTTATCGATGCTTCAACTCACATAAAATTCATATAAAAGTACAATTTTCATTTAAAAATTAAAAAAGAAAATTTTTTTCTAAAATAACAATATGTAAGATGTATGAGATTCTTATATTTGTTCATTATTTATTTATAGTTTTTTTTTAAGTCTTTTTCAAGCAGAACATTTAAAATGTCCTCTACATAAATTATTCAAATTATTGTTAAATAATTTATTTAGATTATGTACTATTTAAGTATATAACTTAAATTTTCTGAAACGAGGCTTATAATTAATTGATTCAAGATATTTCATAATATTATATCATTTGGAAAGAAACAAATTTGTAATTGTATTTCTTACGTATGAAAAATGAAAGGTATTCATTGTTAAACTTCATAAGTAATATTAACTATTAATTATTAATTAATAAGTATTATATATATTTGATTTTATATTTATCTTGAAACTTGTAAAATGATAAACATAATTTCTTAATAGATATTTGGAGAAAAACTTTTCCTTGTTATATAATGTTTAAATGGTAACAAAACATTATAAATTGTTATGAATAACACTTTCAATACAAGATTATTGCGCATATTATTGAACATGCAAGTAAATAAAAAATTATAATTTATATTAAAAATTCAGAAAATATTAAGTTAATTAAAAATATTAATTTTTATTACTATATAATATATATAAGAAATTGGTTTATAAGTGTTAATATAAAATACAAATTAAATAGGCTTTTCTATTTTCTTCTTTTTTTTTATAAATATTTAAATAACATGTAATTAAAAGCGTCAAATCTTAATGTACTATAAAAAAAAATTATATAATTAAATAAACTTGACAGAACTATAGATATAAGTTTTACAATTTTTTAAATCCATTAAATGCTAAAAATTCTGAATGTAAAATAGTTTTTCATTATTTCATATAATGTTCTGTAATAATAAAAATCATTTCCTTTGTTTCATAAGAAAAATTATATAAATCAAATATAAAATATAGATATAATCCTATTATACTGTTATATACATTCCTACATCTTATATGAGAAAATAATAAAAACTTAGTATCGTTGATGTGTATGTAATGTATATATTATAATATTTAAAATATTATAATATAATTATTTTATTATATTTATATTTATTTTTATAATTGTTTTATAAATAATAAATTATATTTATAATTATATTATAATATAATTTAATAATCTTATAAAATCATAATAAATTATTATAAATAATGTATCATAAATAACTTATGATTAATTATTGTTGTCAAATTAACAATGAACATGAGCAATTAATAATATAAGAAACTGAATTGTGAAGTTACAATTACGTAATTTTATATATATTTTTAATGGATTTGTACATAAATATAATTCTACATAATACTTACTTAGATATTTTTTTAACGATTCAGCTTTATAATTATTAAACTTATTAAATCGGATAACTCGAAAAATCATATATTAGATCTAATTTATTGTTTACATAAAATGATTTTTTATTTACTTATATTAAATTACTTATATATAAATTATTAAAATTCGAATTACTAAACCTGACGCGAATTTAATAATTGGTTTTTTGCGTTTAACTTTCACAAAAGAGTTATATTAACAATTAAGCATTTTTTATCATTTTTTTTTATTTAATCTGATAAACGACAATGGTAGAATTTTTAGAAGATAAAGTTATAATTATTTAAAGTTGCATTAGTTAATTTAAAGGATACGATATTAAAATTGTAACTATATTATAATGAAAATTCTTTTGTAAGATGTACAACGCATTATTAAATAATATAAATTCTATGATTATTGACTAAAATATTATTAACTAAAATTTAAATATATATGAAGCTAAGAAATAATGAGCCTATAATGATATTAAGTCCTAGTTACAATGATGAAAAGTGACTAATAATACACTTTATAGATAATATTTCATTCATTTGTTTATCATCTATTTATTAACAACTCATGTTTTTACTTATGTAAACAATATATATAATTTTTACTCATTTACGCTCTATATTGTAGTATTTTTAAGATTTAATTATAGTTTTTCTAATTTATCGTACAAAATTTGATATTTTACGATTATTACTATATAATTATATAATTATAATTGTCTACATAGTTTTTGTGTATGTAAAAATTATATAAAATATCAAAAAACTATGTTTTTACATTTTTAAGCGTTAGTGTGAGTATAAAATTATAGGAGATGGTAAACTTTATTAAACATTACAAACTGAAATTTGAAGAAAAAACAATTTCTTCGTTGTCAAAAAAAAAATCTGACAAAAACCTTTTATAATTCATTTAGTTCATATATCAGAATTCGTTGTTTAATATTAAAAATAATTTTCATTTTACGCTGCATATATCTTAAATCATTTATTGATATACGCACATATTTTCGATATTTTTAATTCAAAACTCATTTATTCCATTACGAATTGTATTAGAGTCTTTTCTTTAGATATTTTATTTTTAAGAATATTTTTGTAATCTTAAAAGTTGACTGTTTTTTGTAAAAAAAAAAAAGAAAAAGAAGAAGAAATTAATAGATTTTAGGAAAAGATATAACAACGTATACATTAATATAACACGAGTTATAAATATTTTATGCGATAAAAATGTCAAGTTCATGAATACAATTCAAAATTATTTTTATAGCTCAATTCTCAACAATTCTACATAAATTACAATTTCCAAACAAATATTTGGTAAAAGTTCCATATTTTGTACATCGAAAATTCTACAGTTATATTTACTTTTGCCCCTTTCGAAAATAAACGCTTAATAACTTTATGCTAATTACGTACTAAACAGTTATTTACAGCTTATCATATTTCTCTGAATCTCTACATTCGTATTTAATTAGTATTTGTAAACATACTAATACCAACGTAATCGAAAATCAAGAGTCAAGACGAATGTGTGAAACAGTTGGCTATTAATTGGCTTAAGTACATTATTCAACTTTCTGTTCGAGCGCTCAATTTTAAATCGGTTAACATCCAATCCTGATCTATACGTAAAGAGAAAATTTTAAATGTCGCACAGAGCTCGATATTTTATAAAGTTAAAAGTTTGTAATTTCTGCCGGTAGGTTATTTATATAAACATATCTCACAAGATAATATCGCAAAACCAATTCCACTATCAGACTATCCAATCTCTCATAATCCAATTCAATTAAAAGTCCTATCGCTGTTGACCAACCCCCTCGACATTCTATTTGGCACAAGAAATGAGACAAAGATAAATTCATCTTCGAGTCTCGATGTCCTTAAATTTACCCATTGGCAGTGACGGCCTTCGGTGGTAAGAGTCCCCAGGTCCTAAGCCGGTCATAGATGATAGTCACGCGTGAGCCATTGCTCCTTGCAGTCGTATCTGCGTTTGACTCCACCAGGACAAACAGCAAGTCCGGGTATCCGTTGAGGGTTTCGTAAGCAAGAGTAACATCACCAGTTCCGAGGCCGCCCTCAACGACGCTGACATTACCGTTCATGTGGAGCGCTGCCGCGAGGATGCAGTTGATTCTGTGTCCCGGGGGAGTGACGAGACTCAACTGCATCGACGAGGAAACGCTCGTTGTCGAGTTTGTGCTCTCAAGGACGAGGTGTCGAGCAATGGCCTCGGACTCCCCTATGAAATCCCCGTACATCAGCCACTGATCCCTTCAAACAAATATATTTCCATGATAACGGGTTGACTTTATGAACTAATTTTGAATTGCATAGGGAATGATTTTAGAAGAATAGTATTTTCAAGAGAAAATCTTTTCGTTTGATTTCGATAAATAAAAAAAAAAAAATTCAATTCCCAAATCGTACGACGGAAGTGTAAAATGCCTGTTACAAAGATTCATAAACAACTGCATCAATTATTAGTGAGAGTGTGTTGGTCATCGTTATTAAAATAAAAAATTTTCACGATATAATTGAAAGTTAACATATTTAAATAAATAAAAACATGATGGATTCTTTCGGAATATAATGCTTCACTAAATATTATATTGAGGATTACTTTTCGTAGCATCGAATACTTTCACGAGATTTATTATTCCAATTTTTCAATTCTGTCCTTGATAATACTAACAATTTTTAACCGCAAAATTATTCGAAAATTGATTTTTCTTATTCAAACATTTTTTAACAAATGTAATAAAAATAATAAGGTATTTCCATAAGATATTTGTATTTAATATGCGTTTGTTTAAACGTATACCTTATAATAAATAATATATGATAAAAATGTTTCTAATATTTCATATTTAAAATAACTTAATTATTCGGGAAAGTTGAAACGAAGCCTAGTCGTAATGGATGATTTTACAATATATAATATTTCCAAACAAATAATTTCTCGTATTTGAATAAAAGAAAAGACAATGTGGCTTTATTATTGAAATAGACATGAAATAAATAAGTGTATTTAAAATATTATTTGCTGTATGTAAATACTGAAAAATAATTCTGTACATACAAGGTATATAATTAATTATTCTATTCTGGTTGAATTTTATTTCTTAGATCAGTCTATAAATGATCAGAGATTTCCAGTTAAATTCAGAAATACATAAATAACGTTTATAAGCTACTTGTTTCAATACCAGGAATGAAAATGAAAATTTAAATAATCGAATATTTATTTTAATATTCATTTATACAACTTTTATATCCTAATAAACTAAGTAACATTCAAATGCAACTTTCACTATAAAAGTATAAAATTCCACATAATAAGTTAATGTGCTTTGAAAATCGCTCTAAAATGGTATAAAAAAAAAAAAAAAAAAAAAAAAAATTTAAACAAGAAAATGAAGACTATTATTATATTTTTAAGACAGCGATTTTAATTTTTAAAGCTAAGAATTATCCATTTCCCCGTAATCTTCAATGTTGTACGTATCATTTTAACTGCAATACTTTGAGATTTTTTATCTTCCATTTGCATTGCCACTTATTTCATAAATTTAATATATATTGCACGCATAAAGCCATTAAATAAGGCATTATCATAAAATCTCAACGTTTCTGAATGTTTTGCCTAATATTAAAATATTAGAAGTTTACCGTAGCAATTAAACGGCCACAATCGTACAAACAAGTGAAATTCAAATCACACTTTTTGAAAACATACAATGAAATAGGATGAGTAATCATATATATATATATATATATATATATATATATATATATATATATAAATACATCGTATACTACGAATTTATCAGATGCGTCGTAGAAAAAATGGCATCTGACGGAAAAATGCTATTTTTACGAACGCTTAAGGTCAAGATAAATAATAATTCGTGCTTACCCGGCGCAGAATATTATCAGTGTGTGGAGTAACAGCATAAGAGTCGAATCAGCCAACATATTGTTGGCTATCGGTCTTTTAGAGCGAAGATCTTCGATTGGCGATGTAACAGGAAGAATGGCCGATGATAGATCGATAATACCGAGCAAACGCGCCAGCAAATTATTCGCAAGCTTAGGGCGAACATCTGTTCAGTTCCTGCTGCATCCTACGCGCCATCTGCACTTAAATGAAATATCTGTTGAATAAAGACATTTATCTTCAAGATACCGAAATTTTCAACAAACGTAATATAGACTCAAGAGTCTACTTAATATAATGGATGCTTATTCTAAAACATTGTAAAACATATCCAATCCATACATTTTTACGTACGAGACGTCGAATGCAATTTTCACTCATTATCTTTTATAAATATTATATATATATATATATATATATATATATATATATATATATATCGTTATTGGAGGGGCGAGCGCGTCGTACTGTCACCGGTAAATTGCGTGACGTAAAATTTTATTTTATATTTCTGAAAAACTTTAAAGCTCAAGATCATTATTTATCCGCTTCGATTCCTATTCTTCGATCGATTGAATTCAATGTGCAATTAGGCAAACACTCATTCGAATAAAAATATTTTAATCGTACAAGTGACATTCCGAATAAAACACGAAATAAAAACGAAAATTACATGCGATAATTGGTATTTTTTAACTGGATTATGATCGGTAAGAAAAATACCGATTCGCTTTCATTAGCACGAAATGAGAGGCTGTGATCCAAAAAGTGAGTTTAAGTTATTAAAAGGCAGGCGTGGTAACGTATACTTTTCATCTTGTGAATCATCCGACGATCATTCTTGTGACGTGAAGACACATCAACGCTACCGAGCAACGAAGGTGTTGAAGTTGGTTCACTTTCACCGTGTGATCTCACCTACGGTGTGCGCGTGTCCCCTCCCTGAGTTCATGACCCCGTGGCCTTGACCGCTTTCTGCGTGTCTGAGAGGCTGACAACTAGCTAACGCACGACTCATTTACATTGCTCTCTGCGCATACTAATTCAAATTCAGAGATGTAATATTGTCTTGAATGACAGTATTTTCGACGCCTGAACATTCAGGAAGTTCCGCATCAATTGGTCAATTGATCATTAGTTGGAAAATTTTCAGATTGTCTAAATCCAAGTCGCGACTAATGAATAACCGTTTTCTTCATTTCTATTGATTTATTTTTTTCCAATTTACCAATAAGCAGACGCTACATTCATTTACAATACATGTATTATATTATTTTATTCTTTCATAAAGTTACCGATAATTTTTTATAACAGTTAATAACACCTTTGTGCGCTGGATATTTAATTTCATGCAGTTCTTAGAGATACGGCCGATGACTTATTATCGGAGATAAATCTATTTTGAAATTTCCTGTCTCCCATCAAGTGACGATTTATCGTCAACTATTATACAAACGCATGTGTATTATCAGTGTTGGGGTCATGTAATTTAGTATTGGTTGCTCCATTAAGTTTACACAATGAATGTGGCTTTTGTAAAAATTATTCGAAATTTTAATAACTCTGAAATGTAAGTTCAAATATTATTGTCATAATTGGTAAAGTAGAAAAGTTATTAGAAAGCATTAGCATTAGAAAATGTGTATTAACATGTACGTCCTATTCATAATTAAATCTGATTATCTTAATATTGATAAAATAAGTAGAAGATAAAATTACAAAAATAGCATTGCTGTTGTTTAATACGTTGATTAAAATGTTACGAACAAGAATTAGTAAATACATATATTAGGATAAAGTAAAATTTAATAAGCAAACATTATAATTTCTATATTTTCTGCAATTACTTAAAAATAGCATTACGTAAATTAATTGCATATTTAGATATATCTTTCTTTTAAAATTCGTATTCACTAAATCGGTATTTAATAACATTTTCAATGTTTCCTTACTCTACAACTTTTTCGAATATCTTAACACACCTTTTTAATTAAATATAATGTTCTAATTAAATTAATTCTAAATTATTGAAATAGTGATTATCATTAATAATTCGAAATTTGAAATTTGAAAAATATTTGCTATTTGAAATGCCAAGTAACATTGTTACTTGCAATGTTTCAATACAATTTCATTTAAAATAATCGAAATAATGCAATGTGGTATCATATCACGATACATTTGAGCCAAATTTCTATTTTTTCTCGGGACTTCTCTTAAATTTTCTTAAATTCTCTTAAATGCCATATAAATGAATAAAGTTCTAAGCAATAGAATAGAGCTTGTTTTATTAAATAAACACTGTAATAAATAGACAATAATAATTATGAAAAAAAAAAAAAAAAAAAAATAATAAAAAATTTATAAATAACAACCAAGATGTAAGAGTGATCTTTCGAGATCTTTCGAAATATCATTGTAATATATATGAATATTTATTTATATGTTTCTGATAAAACAATAAACGCAAGTATCGAATTAATTAAAATAATTACCAAAAACCTTAATAATATATATATATATATAGGCCTATTATTTTGTCTAATTATTGCTTAAATTTTAATATATTTAGATTTTAATATATTTAGATCGGTTAATATATGAATTTAATGTATTAATACACGTTGGTTAATAAATAATGAATTTTGTCCTTTTAATCTAAGGTATAATATAGTTTCTTCTTCTTAATATTGTTTATTTAATTATGGTAAAAATTTCTTTTAAGCTATTCGTTAAAAATTACTCGAGCTATTAAAATTTTTTTTTATACAATTTATAATTTCGTTAAATAACATTCGCTGAATAATGTTTCACTGAAAACTTGTGCATTCATTGAATCTAAATTCTTATAAATTAAATATTTATCGTAACTAATTGAAGAATTTGTAGGAAATAATCATATTAAGCTCACGCAAAATGAATAAGAATGTGTTTAAACGCATAGAAGTTCTTTGCGATTACATTATAAACGAATCATATCGAAGTCTAATTACTATAATTATGCGAATTTGTAAGGTGCATAATACGTAAGTCGTGCACAAGTCAAAGTTCACGTATTGATCGATGAATGTAAAAAAATTGTTATAATATTAAATATTTATAACGTTAAGTATAGAGAGGATCGCATCCATTTGAATCAATTGATTTCTCGAAAGCTTGTAACTTGTAATATGCAAGCACCGGGTGATGGATGAAATATTCGACGACCGATGATCTGGCAATTAATCATAATTGCGACGCCTCTGGCATCGCATAATGCGTCCAGTGACTCCGTAGCCAATGGAATCTTATAGAAGTGATACGATTAAATTTAATTACGTCTATATCAATATCCTTTCATTTTAATCAAAATTTGATTGGCTTATAGTTTGTAAATGAAGCGATCGACGATGCGATTGAACTAATGAAAAAAACAACAACAAAATTCTACCTTGAATTTACCGCAATAGTCCCTTTGGGCTTCAACTTTTCCAATGTGCTTACAAAAGCAAATAACGTAGCGCTGAATTATTAGCAAATAAGTGCAGTGATATTTGCTTCGTAAGCGATAAAAGCTACGTAAAAACTATGTTCTCGAGCCCCGCAATGGCTTTCAGTGATCTTGTGTTTTTTCAACTGCTGGAGCAATCATGACGAGGTCGCTCAAAGCGACAGTTAATAAGCCCGTATGTATATATATATATATATATATATACACGCACTCGTAGGCTTGAATAATCGGTCGTTACAAACGAGGGCAAAACGCGATTCGCGCACAATTGCCGAAAGCCAATAATCGTCATGCACCGTAAGCCGAGGATTCGAGTGCGATCGCGTCACGTGCGACGTCTTGTTCAACGGGCGACCGTACACGACTAACGCATATGTAGTTAACGGGGCGTAAGCCTCGCGGAAATTGTGGCGACATTAGCATGCGTGTAGCCAACGGCTCGTGACTGGGACGTATTTTCGCCAACCTCCTTGGTTGCAACGGGAACGGGTGCCGTCTATATTTACGGGGGTCGATTGCTTTGTTTTTGTCTGTGTTGCGGAATCCCTTTGGTTATTTCTATGCCAGGGAGAATAATGCGGATGAGAGGTGCGTTTCCGGTGACGGGCCAGACAAGTTATTCCACTACGTATACGAGTCGTGCGTGAGATTGTAAAAAATTACAGCATTCGCGGGGCATTTTCGGTTGAACGTGTGTGGCTACCGGGAGCAGAGGAATATACCGGACTGTCGAGGTTTTCCGCATCTGGTTTGGTTGTTGACTTTCTTTTGTGTTTTTTGTTTTTTATTTATTTATTTTATTTTTTTTTTTTTTTTTTTTTGAATATTTATCGCGAAGGCTCATAAGTCATTCGTTAGGGAGAAGTTGCGTGCTGTGAGCCGAAATTCTTGCACGAACGACGAGACTCGTTAGTCAAGCGTTAAAAATCGTTACAATCGCAGCTCGCAATGAATTTATTAAAAGAGCAGAAGAAAAAAGGAAGAGAGTGTTATTGTCACCTGCGAACATAATAAATATTTTTTTCAAGAAATTCCAACCATTCATCGGCTTACTTTCAAAACTTCGAAGATAAAACGCCGCTCTCTTTTTTGTTGTTTTCTCATTTGTTTTCATTCTTTTGTTTGCTTGGTTGGTATTGTCAGCCGTGCATTAGAAATTTCGAAACTCGCTGTTTTATCACATGAAAAATGAAGGCTTAAAGTGGCATAAAATTTAATAATTCATACTATAAGAGCCTTTGATATTCAATTTTCATCTCCATTAATTCTTTATCATACAATCAACTTATTCTCGATTACATAATACTAATTTAGTAATTAATAAACGATAGTGGAAGCATCGAGTATGTACTGAAATTATGTAATAATCGTTCGGGCAATTATCAGGCAATCTTTAAACGTAAGACTCTACCAACATACAACGAACTTTATAAAAATACACTTGGAGTAGGAAAAATGCAAAAACAGCGTATTGTTGGGCCCCGTGCAATGATCGTAAAAGCGTTGACGAGCTAATCAACTCTAATAAAATTTCCCCCCATTTTAATAACTACGCTAATCCGAAGCTTGGCAGAAGGGAGAATGAGGGATGCCGGCCCTTTGCCCGGCCAATCTATAAATCACGACATTCATAAATAACGAGCGAATGTCGTGAATCCTTTGGCCAAGCGGCCAATACAGTCCTAACAACTCGTACCATAATACTCGCCTCTTCCATTAATAAAAAGCTCGCGCGGACATCTTAAAAAATCACCACCGACAATCCTAATGAACTCGGGCTCCCTCGCATTAGCGCCTCCCCGATCACGACATCTTAATTTCCCTCCACCGCAATCGGTCTACCGTATTTGTGCAGTTCGTCGTCGTCGTCGTCGTCGTCGTCGTCGTCGTCGTCGTCGTCGTCGTCGTCGTCGTCGTCGTCGTCGTCGTCGTCGTCGTCGTCGTCGTCGTCGTCGTCGTCGTCGTCGTCGTCGTCGTCGTCGTCGTCGTCGTCGTCGTCGTCGTCGTCGTCGTCGTCGTCGTCGTCGTCGTCGTCGTCGTCGTCGTCGTCGTCGTCGTCGTCGTCGTCGTCGTCATTGTCATCGTCATTGTCGTCGTTGTCGTCGTTGTCGTCATCCTGTCGTCGTCATCGTCGTTCCGCCATTCCCATGCCGCTGAGCTGACGTGCGACTAAAGGAGCGTCGCATTTTCCCAGGGTCCCAGTACCCGGGACGTCAGCTGCGATATACCCAAGAGATGAAAAGGCGGCTCCTCTGATGGCGCGCGATTTAACGCGCAGCCGATACCGCGTGCCATTACCGCGCGCGAATTATCCTCCCGTTCGTGTCGTATGTCAATGCCGCCGCCATTGCAATGCCGAGTGCGGCTAATTCGTTCGTGCGGATGGCTTATTGCCATCGGCCGTCTCGCGCCATCCCGATGTTCGTCGAGGTGAGTCGATAGCTGACGCTTAATAGGCAATTTGTGAGTTGCGGCGAGTGCGCGACGAGTGCAAGGAGGAGGGATGAGGAGGAGCGTCGATTAAACCGCGTTGGGGGAAAGTTGCTTGCGCGCTTGGGCTTAAATGCGAGTCTTCTCGCCTCATTATAATGATTAATGCGAAAAGCTTAAGTGCTTTTCGAAAATTATCGGACAACGGAGGCTCGCGCACCATTGTTCGTCGTTTTGGTTTTCAGCTTGTCGGGCAAGGATTTGCGGGGTGGACTCTAAGTGGACGGTATCGCGCGAATTTTTACGACAACGCGCCGGCAAAAGGAAGTTACGTATTTATACATTTTACGCTCTTATCGCGAATAAACGCATAAAAACGAGCAGATTCGCCGATCCAGAACGAATAGTCCACGCAATGCTGCATCATAATAATGTCCAACATTAGGTTTTTATGCTTCTTACGAATATTTTGGCCTAAAACTGATCGTCTCATTTCACCTACTATTATGAAAAAATAATAAAGGGCGTACTAGGATTTTAGCTGTAGAGGGCAATTATTTGGTAATATAATTAGAGGTCATTTTTTAATCTTTCACATCTCAAGTCCACACCCCCCCCCCTTCTCTCTCTCTCCCACCACCGATCCATTCTTCAGAGGTAGCTTGAAAATTAAGAAAATCTTTATTATAAACTAATTTCATTTAATGGGACTTTAAAACATACATTTATTTTCTCTTATAGTGTTTAATAAATCCGCCATAAATGGCCTTATGCGCTATTAAAGGTTCGCGCATAGGAATTAACTAATATGCGTAAGTTAAACAATGTCGTTAAAGTTATAAATCGCTACACAAATCACATCCTTTACACTTACAAAGTCGTTTAAATCGACACGCGCTTCTTATTCATGTAAATAATACTGTCGATCCAAGTTTTCTCCCGAGCATGGCAAAAAGCATGGAAAGAGAAAAAAAGAAAATACTTTACATCGATACATTCCGTATTGGAGAGTAGCGAAGATAATCATTTTTTATTGTCTGCAATATATGCACGCATTTGTTCCAATCGCTGTAAAGAACTGGAAGTCGATATAAATATCGTTAATATAATGTGAAAAATTTTGCCGAACTTGTGGAAACGTAAAACCTAAATTGCCGAGTAATCGCTGCTGGAGCAATCTAACCATTAATTTTACATTCTCGATTATTGGCAAATGTGTCCCCGTCGAGATCCGCGACGACTAGCCAAGCAACGACAAGTCAAAATCGTCGCCTCGATTACATTAATTTAATGCAATTTATTGCAATTAAACGATACATTGGAAAGTACATTGGTTTTACAAGTGAGTAAAAATTATTGGTTACACCATTGTACCTAGCGGCGGCTCGTTACCCAACACGACTCGACATATTTTCACACGAGCCTTATCATCGATCCACCCACGCACGCACGCACGCACGCACGCACGCACGCACGCACGCATTCTCCCTTCACCTCCACCTTCACCGCCGAAAAAGAAAGCTCGTTAAGGAGCACGTGTTGTGAAACGGTATGAGAAAGGTCACCGCCAGAGCGTCAAAATAGCGACGCAGTTTCGAGATCACGCCACCACCACATGCCCACCAGCATTAAACAACACGAGAAAAGAGACGACGAAGTGAATAGGACGCAAAGGACGGCCAAGCCGAGAGCTCGAGAGCGGCAAGAGCCGAGCAAGTGCCTGCATATGCAAGCAGGTTCTCGGAGTCCGAAAATAGCGTTACGTTACCGGGGAGAGACGTAGGTACGTGTAGCCCGTAGCCGAGAGGACCCGTTGCTTAAGGCGCGCATGCCATCGCGTACGCCTCCTCCTCGGCTTGCCGACTCCGGTCACGAACGCCGAGAGCCAGATCCATACCATCGGCCCGGTCGCCTCCTCTTCCCCATACTCGATCTTTCACCGGGGCCCGACTATGGTCATTCGCCAACTGTTCAGTCGTAGGATGTTCGCGATTCTCTCGCGTAGCGAGATTGATCTTGCCAATCGATCTTGGTGATTCATCCCTGTCGCTGAGGTTCGATCGAGCTCATAAGCGACCTATCCAATTCACTTTTACTTTCACTCGCGTGAAAGAGTGATATCGCCATTGTGGGCAATTACACCGCGAGCGCGAATGTGATTAGGATCCTCGAGGACCCCGGCAACGTTAATTCCCGATAAACAACCCCGCTGGGGAGTTCGTATTATTCGTTTATTCGTTTCATTTGTCGTTGTGAACTTTATTGGAATTGGTCGGCTGTGAGTGGCCGTAGGAGGAGCACCGGTCGCCGCTTAACGTGACATTCGCTCGTGGACGAGCGGGACCATTGATTTGCAATTCCAGAGGCGTAAAGCGACAGCCGCTGAATGTCGCGGGGCTTTAAGCGGCTCGAGGCTCGGAGTCCAAGCGACTCGTAAACGGTCAGTGGGTCGGTGACGAGTGCCTGTTGGGACGGAAATGCGCGGCTAGTCGTTGTGCCGGAGCGTGACTTCCGTCCCGCGGCGATAATCCACGAGGAAATGTCGTCCCTGTCGCATTCCGCCGGCGTTATGCTCGGCGGGATCGGCGGCAATACGACGTGGGAGGCGCCACGAAGCAGCAGTCGCTGCCTATCCGAGCCCAGTTCCAAAAGCAGCGGCGCTCTTTACAAGGTGCCGCGGAGGGCCCGATGGGTCGAGGTGCAGACGC